GCGCTGCCACCGTGCGCCCCGGCTGTCCCGCATGGGGACATGCAGGTTGCACCTGGCATGGGGATGTGGTCCATGCACCCGCTGCATGCACTGTGCACACGAAGATGTGTCCCCATGCACCCGCAGCATGTGCCTGCTGCAGGGACCTGCTGCATGCACCCATGGCAGGCAGCCACTGCGGGGGCCCGCCCTCTGCACCCACAGTGTGCAACCACCGCAGGGACATTCCCCTGTGCACCCACAGGGTGCACCCACAGTGTGCACCCACTGCAGGAACCTCCTCCTCCTCACCCGCAGCATGCACTGACCGTGCGAGACCTGCCCTATGCTCCCGTCCCGTGCACCCACCATGGGGACCTGCCCCGTGCACCCACAGGGTGCACCCACTGCAAGGACATTCCCCTGTGCACCCACAGTGTGCACCCACTGCAGGAACCTTCTCCTCCTCGCCCACAGCATGCACTGACCATGGGAGACCTGCCCTATGCTCCCGTGACATGCAGCCACCATGGGGACCTGTCCCATGGACCCACCACAGGGACCTGCCCCATGCACATATGGCATGTCACCATGGGGACATGCCCTGTGCATGTATGGCATGCCACCATGGGGACCTGCTCCGTGCACCTATGGCATGCCACCATGGGGGACCTGCCCCGTGCACATATGGCATGCCACCATGGGGGACCTGTCCCATGTACCCACACAGCGCAGCCACTGCAGGGGCCCTGCCCAGGGCACCCAGGGCAGGGATGGTGGTGGCAGCACATCCCTGCCCGCCCCGCGGGCACAGCCCAGCTCTGAGGTTTCTGGTTAATATGGCTGGGACTCGAAACTGCCCTTTTCATAGCCAGAAGCCTATTAATAGCTGGGCTGGGCTATAATTAACAGAGCGAGGCCGCCGCGCGGAGCCACGCGTCCCCGTGCCGCGCGGCCGGGGGCAAACCACAGGGCAGGGGAAACCCGCGCCAGGGCACCTCGTAGCTCCCGTCCTGCAAGGAGGGGAGCCCGGGGATGGCACCAGCCAGTCCCCACGGACGCAGCCAGCCCCCCAGCTCTTACCTCTCACAGTGTGCTCGGAGGGCCCCAGGAACCAGGGCAGCAGCAGCAGGAAGAGCAGGTAGACCAGGGAGAGGACGTTGAAGCGGAAGAGACAGGCTGGGGACAGAAGCACGGATGGAGTTAGCCCGTTGCACACCCACCCCGCAGCACCGGGAGCCCCTGGGAAGGATCCAGCTGGGAACCCCGCATCCCTAACCCCTGCAGTGCCCAGGAGCGGGTGCATTTGGGTGCCTCCACTTGCAAACGCAGACGCGAGCCCCAGGATCACCAAGGTCCCGAGAAAAGCGCAAAGGGGAGAAAAGAGCTTGTCCCACGTCTCCCATCCCCATTCAGGGGACACCCCTCAGGGGAGACATCGTCCAAGCGACGCCGGTGCGGCGCCTGGCATGTGCCCAGGGGCTCTGCTCCATCAAGGGGCAGCTCAGAGCCCTTGGCACAGGAGCGAAGAGCAAAATCAGCGTTATTCCGACGGGCAGAACAACCCCCTTCCCGTAAGGCAGCGCTGAGCTGTGCTCACTGCCATCCCAGTGCCCATGGCTGCCTCCGTGGGTTGGGGGACGTGGGGACCCTCCGGCAATGTGGTGGAGGGAGAGGAGCCTCGGGGCGCCTCGGTCCCGGTCCGGTCCCCGACCCGCAGCCCGGTTCAGACACACCACCCGCTCTGCACCTTCCCCTCGCTTATTTTTAGCCCTAAATTACAGCTTGTTTTCAGGCACAAACGTGGTGGAGGAGATGGGAAGGGAGCTTTGCAACCGAGTCGGGCTGTCACCAGCGGGGACGGGGTCGCAGTGTCCCGGTGGCTGCGTGAGCGCTGGGCAGCCCATAGCAAAGCCCATACCTGAACCAGCAGGGACAGAGGTGACCGCCTGGGTGGGACATCTCAGAGATGGGCACAGAGGGGAACATGTCCCAGCAAGAGCCAGGGAGCCCAAGGGCCACCCAGGAGGGGACGGTCACAAGGTCCGGCCGGGGCAGGGACACTCGTCCCTTCCCTGCATGGCCAAGGGGGAGCAGGCCAGGAGCCAGGGACGTGCTCCACACCAGTGAGCCAGGCACGGCCCTTCCTGTGTTTACGGATCCTATGGGATGGCTCATCCTGGGGCCACACGTAGTGGGGAGGACACACAGCCCCTGGCAGGACCCCCCCCACCAGCCGGCACCATCATCCCACATGGGATTGGGACCCCAGGAACGTCCTGGACAGGGCACGGATCCAACCTCTTGCAGGCAGCACCGCGGGGTGGGGGCAGCCCGGCCCTGCTCGCAGCCCCTGCCCACGAGGGACCCACGGCCAGCGCTGCCCCCAGCCCCTATCCCCTCCCCGCCGAGGGTTGCTCGTTGCATTTCGGCAAACCATGACCTCATGGAGCAAATATTCCCCTTCCCGCGCCAGCGGTGAGGAGCCCAAGAGGAGCCGTGCTGGGGAGGGCGGCTGCGGGAGGAACGGCCCTCCTGGCACATCCTGATCCTGCCCCATGGACACCCAAAGGTGCTCGGAGACGCCATCCTGGTGCCGTCCCCACCCCATGGATGCTGCCAGCAAAGGTGGAACCAATGGGACCAGAGCCCTGTTAGCATCACCCAGGCTGGGATGCAGGCAGCACCACGAGACACCCTTCATGAGGACATGGACTGCAAGCACCTGGGAGGCGCTGGCACCACAGGGACACTGGGGACAGGGACAGCACCCCAGGAGGAGGTGGCAATCAGGATTCAGCAGCATCCAAGCCAGCCCCAGTTCAGTGGGGACCCACAGGCACCCTTCTCAGCCCCACAAGTGCATTTGGGCTCCAGGCAAGTGCCAGAGGGGCACGAGGCTGCTGCAGGCTAGCCCCATGTCCCCAAAAAGCCCCTCGGAGCTGCCAGGACAGCTCCAACTCTGCACAGGGATTAACCCAGCGCCGCAGCCAGCAGCACTTCAAATATTAACCAAGTTAAAACACGAAGAGGAGGATAAATCACAGCAAGATGCATGGGACCTCATTAAAGAGCAGCCTTTAATCCTCCCTTGAGAGCTGGTGCGGTGGGAGGCCCATGAGTGAGCGGTGCTGCCCGGTGCTCCGGGGCTCAGACCCGGCACATCCACAGCAGGACCCCAAGGCGCCCGCTCCAGGGCTTGGCACGGCCGCTCTCCCCGCTGGGACTGATGGTTGTGCAGTATTAATTAGCACAGCTCTTTAATCAACTGCACGCGCTGCTGGTTCTGCACAGCGCCGTTACCTGCTGCAGCAGCTGAGTCCCGAGGCGGGTTTGGTGCCCAGAAGCACCAGGGCATTGCTCTGTGCCATGGGGCCGCACCAGGCAGCTCTGCCCACTCCCAGGAGGATGCAGTGCATGGGGACAGGGTGCATTTTGCAAGGGCAAAGTGTCCCTTGGGAACCTTGCGCCCGGAGCGGGACCGCTGGAGGGGTGGCCACAGGCACAGGGGCCACGTTGCCGGCTGCATTCCCAGCACGCCCCAAATCCCCTTTCCGGGATGGGGGACCAGCCGCGACACTTCATCCGCTGCATCCTGTTTTTGTGGAAAAACACATCCCGGTGCCGGCAGCGCCGCCAGGCCGGCTCATGGTGGCTCCCTGGGGACAGGCCCAGAGCTGCCCTGGGGGCACCAGGTGGGCACTGTGCCCATGGAGGGTGCAGTGCTGTCACCAGCCCCACAACCAGGGCTATGGGGTTGCACCCATGGCCACCACAGTGCCAGGGGACAAGGACAGCCCTGCTCCTATGACCTTGCAGCATCAAGGGGGGGAGCATGAACAGAGCCAGCCTGGGGGCAGGCAGCAAGACCCAGTGCTACCCCCGAGTGTCTCCTGTCACCTCTAAGTGCCACTGTGGGACCAGCACCGCACACTCATCCCACCCACGGTGCCCACTGCAACATGCAGGGAGCCCAGCCCCACAGTCACCCCAAAACAGAGGTGCGGGGACACGCACAGCAGAACCCAGGCCTGGGCACACAGAGCCCCAGTGCTGCTCCCGGCCCTGCCCTGGGGAGGAAGCAGGAGCTGTTTCTCCTGGAGACATCTGCAGCTTCCCTTTTTTTTTTTTTTTTTTTTTTTTTTTCTTTTTCCCTCTTTTTTTAAA